AAAAAGCCAAGCACAATAATATAAAAGGTCACATATTTGAAATTGCTATTTTGAGCTTATGCAATTGGAATAATGTCGATTCTAATATTTGATATCGACAAGAAGAAGCGAATATCAAATGTTTTAAACAGCTTTAATAGCAATGAGGCTCTTTCCATAAGAAACGCAAAAAAATATTTTAGATAGCGGTGATATTCTACCATTGTTAAATTATATCGATAAATATTATTCAATTATTGAAATAGCCCTAACTGAATTACAAAAATCTGATTTATTAATTTCCGAGTTCTTACATGTTCTTAACGAAGTCAGAAGAAAAAAAAAATGAAAAGAGTGTTATACCGAAACACCGATTATGATGTGGTTTGATAGACAAGTGAAAAAATTGTGAAGGGCTTTGACATAAATAACGAAAGTTTGTACAAATATGCTCCTCTTATATATGAGGATGTCGAAAGATCCTTCTCGCCTTATAAATTGATATTGAGTATCAAACGAAATAGTTTGATACCGGAAAATATTGAAAAAATACATAATGTACAATTAGCAGCTCATCGAATTATATACTTTTATTTTAAGATTTCCTCTAGTGCTACGGAACAAAATTATTAATATGCTACCATCTGTACGTATTAGAGACTTAATGCGAGCTGGCAACGTTCAGTCGTGCATTTCACTCGACCTTATACTAAAAGCAGTGAAAGATAGCTCATTTTCCCGCTCGCACAGCTCCTACTGAATAAAAGACAGATGAACTAACTATCAACGCTAACCTCATGTAGTCCTATACCCAGCAGGGTTGAAATCAGGATGATGATTTACTATCAACACAGACAGTTCATAGTTTGAATTAAAAAGACCGATGAACCATTAAGACCATGCAGGACGAACGTCATGTCAGTCAGTATCGGAAATACATTTCCTCATAGTTCGTGAATGAAATATACAAGCCTACTATGAACTTACTAACTACTACAAGCCTACTGTGTTTTTTTAAACAGGCGAGTAATAGTGGTTACTGTAAAAGTTGCACTTTAGCTTCAGGACCTAGCCCTCCTATGCCTTTGAAAGCACGCGAATTACTAATGCAATTGTGAATTAATAAGTTATTGATTTTCCAGGTTTATATATATTTCTAATAATTGTAATTTTCTAGTAATGACTGTTACAGTCGCATTAAGAAATCCATGATTATTCCAGGAAATCGTAAAGGTTCTACATTTTTCAAACTTGGCACCCAGTCAGTATGCCATTATTATATCGAATATTATTAATTTAAATCTTTCCACTTGGAATTTGGCATTAGACTTACAATTCAATATCATACTTGCCACAATCGAACGGCGAGATCGTAAAACAAAACCGAGACAAATTAAGCTTTTTAAAATAAGTTCATGCCAAAACTCCGTCTGGAAGAACGATCTTCTGTATTACCTTATGATGTATAATAGCACCCCATATGCAATATAAGCAAAAGACGAAATATAGACATGGAAAATGACTAGACAAGTCAAAAATTAAGAAGGACAAAAGAAAATAGAGGGCCAATTGCAGATTCGTAATGAAGAGGAAGGTCAAGGTGATAAAAAAGGACACAATGAAGAACAATGTAAAATGCTTTAGGCTTTGCTTATTTAGTAGATTGTGACAGTTAGTAAAGATTATAAAAGTAAAGTAAAAGTACACACTGTTAAAATTTTTATTAATTTTATTGAAAGGGAGAGATGTAGTGTATGCACATAATGTACCACAGACATTAGACAATATAAGTTACACTGCGGCCCGCCGTTCCCGCACTACGACACTAGACAGTGGTGTGAGCGGACGTATCGCACGTGTACGTGAAGTAAACACATGTTGTTTCATTGAGCTATCCCTATACTAAGTAGCGTAAACGCCACACACATAAATTTATTAAAGGTAGATAGTGAAAGGAAAAAAAAGTGTTATGTATGAATTTGAAGAGATATAAAGCGATAGCAAGGCCGATGAAAATATCGCCGGATCGTGTGAAAGATGACATGAATAAGAAAGGTGTGAATATGGAAATGACGGCTGATAGGAGAGAGTGCAACAAAAATACAAGTTGTGTCGACCCCATCTAGCGTGAGATATAACAATAAATAACAATAAACTGCCTCTGCCATTATCACTTCCACGCAGGGGTCCCGGGTTCGATTCCCGTCCCGGGAGAAATATTTGTATGGCCTACATTTATTTCTCTCGTGAGTTTGGGTGTAATTTGTGGTTGTTTATGCGTGTGTCCATAGCACCCGCGGTACAAGGTTTCACTAGTGCGGGGCTATTAAAAAAAAGATATAAAAAGCTGAAGGTACAATATAAAACCCTGCCTACTAATACTAAACAGTCCACTTACACCAGAGGACATTAAACCTGTCGGAGCCAGGAAAGTCGTTCAGTTGTCCAATGCTGTTGGCCTTGGCTCTGAACTGTAATTAGTGGTGATCACAATAGATCAACTGATTGTCGCAGTGATGAGGGGCAACATATGCCCCGAACGAAGCCACCCTTATAATAATAATAATAATAATACACCAAGAGGTCTTATATACTTATTCTAATGATGAAAAAGGAGGTAACCACGTGAAATTAGAGTGTTAATGTCGGTACGCCATGAGTACGTCCTCTCGCTTCGAGAATTTCCATGGGAATGATGATGGAACGAACCAATGTTAGAATAGTGAAAGAAAAAAGAATTCGAGGACAAAATATTAACAAACAAATATATTGTCGTACCAACGCCTTCCGATAATCGAATCAGATTGTATTGTACGGAAAAATCGGACTTGTAGTATCCTATCACTTTTCTATGAGCAATGTTTTGTCTCCAATACATTGCAATCGCTCACTTGTTTCCCCCGCTCTCTTCTTGCCCGGTTCACTAACGTGTCAAGTTACCTTGCGATATATGTTACACATTTTATACCTAATTGGGGTAATTAGTTTCTTGCTCATTCTTCTCAGGGGAATCTGCCTTACGAATGAGCGGTAGAGTTTAACCATTGTGACGATTTCAAGTGTAATAATGCTTACCTATGAAATAAAGATTATTTTGAATTTGAGTTTTTTGAATTTGAATTTGAATTTAATTAAATCTATTAAATAGTAAAGTCTATTTATTTTATCAGGTCCACAATTTTAAATAACTTCTACCCGTGCAGTGAGCCGCCAGATTCATTACTGCAAAGACGCCTCTCACCTGCAAAGTGTACGCGTAGCAGATTGAGATCATGTCCCCAGCCTTGTGCGCGATGGAAGCCCTGATGGTGAGCGGCCTCCCGGGCTGCTTCTCGGCGTCCGTGTGGGTCGTGGTGGGCGTGCAGTCGTGCGCGATCAGATACGCTCGGTCGTATAGCGCGCGTGCGTTCGCGCCGCTGCCGCCGACTTCGAAGGCGTTCACCTGAAATTATACATTAAATATATTAAATATATTCTTACTAAGCTGTAAAAGACGTTATACTACATAGATATAAGTTCATTCCTTGTCATTAGGTAACACTTGCATCACCATGTTGAATTTGTTGTTATGGCGTTTTCAAATAACTAGTTAAATTTTGATACAAAATTACAAATCGATAAAACTGCGATAACCCAGCATTTATATCACAATAGACAGGGCTGATCAAGATACGTGTTGCGAATTATTTATAATTTTTATTCAAAAAAAAAGAGAAATCGACTTCAACCTATATGAAGTCGGTTAAAAATACATTACGTCAGATATTTGAAATCATCGTTCTATCTCTCGTTGAGTTTGTGTGCGTTGTATGGCGCTATAGCCCCTCATTACGGGCGACTCAACTGGACTTTCTTTGAAATAACAATTAGAAAAGAAATTTTTTATTAGCAACTTGAAATACAATGACAAAATATGTAGTATTTAAAACCTGTCTGACAATATGGTAAGACTAGAAAATCCGCACTTTAGTAAGCAATACCTACATACACCCGCGTGTGAATGAGTTCATTTTTTATTTATTTATTGTATGACCTGGATACAAAGTCCTTCAGTCGAAAACATTTTAGAACTAACAAAACAAAAGCTTAGAACTTAGGACAAATTCAAATGAAGTAATTATTTACATAAATTGGATGTTAAGAATTAAATATTTTCTGCCGTACTTATAATAAACTTATAGAGTGGGATAAAAAATTCATTCAATAGTAAGTCCTGAAGGCGGCGGGGAACATTGACTTGATTTCGCACACAACTGTCGCTGTCACTTATGTCTTTCAAAAGAAGAGACCATTGGTTGTTGAAGTTAGGGCAGTTGAAAATAATATGCTGTAAATCTGCTTCTTCTTCAGTGCAGTGGGTACATCGTGTGTTATTTAGGACCTTTATTCTATTCGAGTCGGAACCAAACAATGGCCAGTCTCATACGCGTGATAACAATAATGAACTTCCGACTGTCGAACGCTCTGGTGAATGAGTTCGTTCTGTGAAGTACTGCCACCACGTCTATTTCTGCCACCAAACAGTAATGTAAACATTACTGAGTTTCGGTTTTCAAGGGTAAGGCTGCTGGTGAAATTACAGGCACACTTACCTCTAGGATCCCACAAATAGTATGAATCTCTTCAGCATCATATTCCAGTCCCCACTTCCGAATCCTCTGCACGACGCTCTTCTCATTCATCGGGTAAATATCTCCTCTAGCACGCCGCAGGTCATTGTGAGACTCCATAGCCGATAGAGCTGTCCATTTCGCAGGATCGGCTTTTTTCAGAAGCAAACACCTGAAATAAATTGTCTATTCATTAGGAATTTTTATTTTAATTAACCGACTTTAAAAAGAAGGAGGTTTTCGTTTCGACTTTATTTTTTGTGTATGTTACGCGACAACTCCGACATTTATGAACCTTCATAGAATTGAATAGAAATGCCACGGCACATAGATACAAATAAGAGATTAATAATACTTATATAAACGTAACAAAATAGAAAAAAATTAAACATAATCTCAGTAAAGAGTACTAAAAAAAAAACGATCTCAAAAGAAAGTGCGTGAAACGGGCTGAAATGGGCTACTACCGAGGTATCGCCTTTCCAACAAAAAAAGATTCATCAAAATCGGTTCACAAATACCGGAGTTATCGCGTACAAACGAATTGAGAACCTCCACTTTTTTAAAGTCGGTTAAAATACATTACATATAAATATACGGAAACAAAAAAAAAACAACATAACTAAAACAGAACAATTACAATTTGTACTGTTATGTGTGTGTATCGAGGACAGCGAAGGAAACTGCGGTTTAGATAGGAAAAGGTGTATTATTATAGAGCAAAAACAGACAGTAAAAACAGCAGAAGAAGAAGCACACAGTCAAGAAAAGGACATAGAGACAAACAGCTAAACATAGACTAATTACACATCCTAAAACTACAAACAGGGCCTGTCCTCGACAGTGTTGTGCCTCACGTGAAAGGACCTCATTTAGCTTATGACACAGCCTTAAATTGGACTGTGGCGCTGGTTTTCATTAACCCCTAAGGATTATTTCGAGGAGGATTTTGTTGGAAAAGGGATACCTCATTGTACCTCAGTGGTCCCATTCAAATTTAAAAAAATATTCCACCTCTAAGCGCGTATCCGATTCGTATTTGTTTCGAACCCGAAACTATGCTAATCTAGAAACCTCGGACCCACTTCGGATGCCGCTTGTGCACTAAGGCCGATGAGAATCCGAGAAAACACGCTCTCTTGTACACCTGTACATAAAACGACACTTCGGACACCTGTGACATTTCGGACCGTCATTTCATATTTGGGGATGAATCCGGTAATTGGATTTCACTGGCATATGGATGTAATTCCATAAATTTTTGAGATCGGGTTTTTTTATAATAAAGTTAGAAGTAATTACTTTCTACTGAAAGCTTATATACTTCGATAAGCTTTTAGACAACCTCAGTTTGTACAGTGGGTGGTCTTGGGTTCAATTCAGGTTACGAACAATTTGGGAAATCTTTTTTTAAAATTAGTTCTGGACTAGGTGTTCTGGGTCCGTGCCCCGAAGTGAATGCCGGTGCCCTGACGCTCATAGTATAGGGCATTCACAAGTCTGAGACCCGGTAATTGGTGTCATTGTCTGGCACATTATTATTATTAATATAATAAAATTATGGCCATTTTGAAAAATATTTAAGGGAAATCGAACAATTCTCGGTCTAAATCGCGTATTAATTTTTTTTTACGAGTGGTAACGGCTGTCTTTCACAAATCCGAAACGTGCGTTAGTTTGTTTGAAAGAAAACAAATAAACATACGCGACTTAGAAAAAAAATGCGAAAAAATTGTTTAATTTCTAATAATATTGCCTTGCTATACTTGTAGCTGCCTCTGTGGCCGAATGGTTACCATCCTGGACTGTCACGCAAAGGTCCCGGGGTCGATTCCAGGGCAGGGAGAAATACGCCTACATTTATTTCTCTCTTGTGCGTTTAGGTGTAATTTGTGGTTGTCTATGTGTTTACGTCCATGGCACCCGCGATACAGGGTTTCCTTAAACGGGGCTATGAGTGTATGCGTTATTATATATTAATTATATTACTTGTAACTGCAGCACTTGAATTATAGCTGCTCGGATAAAAACGTGATATAAGTATTTTAGAATCTAATCAACAAGTTTATTAACATACTTAAATATATCTAAGCAATATTTACAACAACAGCAACAAGTTTAGTGTTAATAACAACATAGAAACTTGTTGCTTAGGTAGGTTATCTAAAAATATGTTTCTCGCGTTTTTCTCCGAACCGCTATATTGCAAGTGCTGCATTTACAATTAGCAGGGCAGAATAATAAATGTTGTTTGTTTCCAGAAAGTATTTGATTGTAATGTCAGCATATTAATAAAAAAATATTTTAATAAGTTAACGTGTTTGTATTAAGGAAATGGACAGAAATCAGTAGCTACTACTAGCGGCTAGTACGACAGGACACGCCTATCGCGAAAACGATATAAAGCGCGACATACTCCTATTCTCGCATAGAGATCTCGCGCTTTATATCGCGCTTGTTCGTGCTAATCCTATAATTATAAATTATCCAGAAACGAACGTACCTTAAAGGCATCAAGGCATTATAAGAATCCTTCAAATCCTCCAGGTTGGCATAATTTGGTGATATGGTTTTCAAGGTCTCACACTCGTAGGTCGAGTGGCCTGTGTACTTTCCTTGGCCGAAACAAGAACTACTGCACATCGGCCATTTGCAGACTTGGCATCTGGTGTTGAAATGGTTTATGTTTAATATAGAGAATAATAATTAATATTATTTATTAGACAATAAGTTAAAATATGCATAAGGTACAATAAAAGCTTTAATACTAGAAATTAAAACTAGGATTAAATTATATGATTATAATTGGGTCCCCGAGGCAAGGTGCCCAAGATGCTGGCGTCTCGTTCCCCCTTTGTATGGCTTTGCTAATGCGTAGGGCAGGGTAGCTACCGACCTTTGGATTTCCCAAACCGACAATTAACTTTTGTGACCCCATGGGCCAAGGGGTCGACTCCAAATAGGTAGTCGGAGCCGAAGTCCTGGTACTTCTTTATTCTTTCCGCCAGCTCAACTGCGGAACCAGCCCTCTTGCCGGTGTACTGGAGATGGTATGAGGCAAGTGTTTCGGCACACGTATGGCGTCCCACACCACTTTCCGGCCCATATTCCAAGGCATGAGTGTCATTCCATCCGGGCGTTTGCCACCTGATCGCCAGTCGCCATAATTTACTTTTAAACTGATTTAATTCCAGTCGTATTAGTGCTATAGGAAGGGTACTGTACATGCTCCAGGGGTCGCTCACTTGAGGCACTAGCCTTTAGAGAACCGGATGAAGTCCATGACAACGGTCTGCGATAACCCTGTCAACAGTCTGATCTGGGGTCAGAGCCTGAACTTATAAGTCCCTAGGCTTGCATAGGTTAAGTACCCTTTCGATATAACCAAGAGGTTGATATGGAGGATCACTATAAACTAAACTTATGTAGAAAGATACGGGGCTGTTGAATTAGTGTATAGTAAATCAACCTATCGCAATAAACTCACGGTTGTTTATAACAATCTGTTTAACAGCATCACACGGAAATTATGAAAATTCCTTTATTTTCGCTGTATTATTTTAGTAGACAGTGGAAAGAGTTCGTCCGGGGAAGTACTTCCGCCTTGTCTATTTCTGCCGCCAAGCAGTAATGTGAGCATTACTGCGTTCCGGTTTTGAAGGGTATAGGTGCTGGTGAAACTACAAACACATGGGACTTATCCACTTCTCAGGGTGACGGGCGCAATGGCAGTGCTCCTCAGATCTTTGTGCTTTAAATCTCTGAGTGCCACTGTAACTGAGTGTCGAATAAGAGTGTCGTTTACCACCAGGAGACTTGTTCATCCCGTCACTTGATATCACAAAAAAAAATTCTGTTTCTGACTCAATGATGACTCAAAGATCGCTTTTATAAATTAATACTTAAACAAATGAAAAAATTACTTCACTCATAAGAATTTCAATTTTACGACCTACTACTGGGCAGTGGTACCCTCCAAGGAGCAAGTTTAACCATAGTCCAACACACTGGCCAAAGTGTCCAGCCCACACGTTTTCCAAGAGCGTAGATATTTCGATAAGCATAACTAAATTTTATAATAATGTATACGTAACTTAGAATTTAAAAAGTCGCAAGTGCATTGCGCCTGCACTACAATGCCAAGCAGTGAGAAGCAACCATTCTCACAATAGGCCACCACCACTCCCACTTGGAACTTATTCAATGAACTGTAGACATGCAAAATGGAAGTTATTGTACTAACTTAGCAAAATTGGTCTCATCAAGTTCTCTATAGCATCCGAGGCAGATAAGGGCGCAACCACTGCATGGGCCGACGGCTATGGCGGGCTCTTCGATGATCACTTCACCAGCCCTCAAGTCGCGGCTTGCGACCAAGTATCTGAAAGTTTTTAACTTTCTTTAACATAAGCATCACAATTATATCTACATCAGTGTTCTGTGGGCATGAGTTTTCTTTATGGTTTCCATATAGTTCACCATGCCATGCTATAGGTCTAATCAAATTCCAACGTTACCGATGTTACAAGGATAGGATGTTAAAGGACTTTACATGTCATGTTACAATTTTTGCAGTTTGTCGTGTTTTATAAATATTATAAATTGTAATGTCATTCATTACATTTCACTGTTTATTGCAATGATTATTGTCCTGTTTACGAAAACGTACTTTAACTGTGAAGGAAAAAATAAAATTACTTCAAAAACTCGCTGTAGCGTTATTAATTTTGCAGCTGTCAAATAATTTGTCGGAGCGTTGGATGCCTCGACTTCAACCAAAGAATGACAGGAAAGAAAATTTATCGCATGAGCTGCTAGAAATAATTCCTGGTGCTTTCATGCGAATAATTTATATCACAAAAAATTTACTGCTGCATTCGGACAGTTATAATTGCTAGAAAAGAGAAATGTGCTTTAGAGTCGTGGCTACGTGAAATTTAACAGAAAATTCGGCTTACCTGCCCATTACGTCCGAGTGTTTAACTTCGTAACAAAGCTCCTTCTTTGGTTTCTCTTTTTCCTCTTCATGCCCATTCTCTTTAGTGTCCTTTTCGACTTCAGGTTCAATGATATTTTCCTTGTTCCGTCCTCCATCGTCCCTCGCTCGCTTCTTTTGCTGCACAAATAAACACATTCTTAGAACATCGTCCATAAAACAAGAAAATTATGTTTCCGTTCAGACGAAGCCGCTTGTAATTGGCGGATATTCATAATTTGAAAACTTACGCAGAATAAGCGGCGGAACATTTGTAGATAAAAGATAAATGCGAGTGTCTCGGATGTTAGATGGTTTTTTTATGAATGGAGACAAGATTTCTGTGTTCACCGGGATTGTATCTGTATAACTGCATGACGTAGAGGATTATGAATGGGTTTTTGCCGGTAGGCGGTGTCTAGATGTATTTCTGTTCACCACTTGACTGTTGTGCCAATGGCTTGCTGTAAAAATCTATTTCATAACCCTGCCAATGATGTTTCTGTCCGTGAAATTGAATTATTTGGGGCTCAAACACATTGGTTCCATACAGTGACAAGGACACTAATTATTCCAAGAAGTTACTTCTTTGGGCATACAACAAAACAAGAAAAATCAATCACCTTATTGACTCAGTGTACCTTCGTACATATAATCGCGCCTTTGGATTTTCATTATGGGTACTTCGCACAATCCCGAAAAACTTCTCTAGTTTCACTTCATCATCAATATTTCCAAACAATAACTTATTCTTTTCACTACACACTACAATCTTTTTTAAAAATATTCTCGTTTTGAAATGAGAACATCCTTTGTGGCCGTCTTCTTCCAATGTTTATTTGTTATCCCTTTCGCTACTATACTTTCATCCATCCGCTCCATGTGCCCAAACTATCTCAACATTTCCTTTTCTATTTATGTCACGTCTTCTTTTAATCGCATCGTTCACTGATCACAGTATTCCTCACACTGTCACATGCAAAATCGCACATCACATACTTTTCTGACTCTGTAACCAATGGTTTATTATTGCTGTTATTAAATTGTAAATAAACTGACCAGAATGGCACAGAACATTAGAAACTTATTACAATTAACTTCCATTATGGTTACTGCTTTAGACACGTGTCTGGTAGTACTCGGAAAAAAGAACTAACACTCGAAGATATCTTCCTAATGTACCGCTAAGCACTTGTTTATTCTCGTAAATCACGGACAAGGTTAACGTTCTCGCACCATTATAACAGATTTACATCTATTTTTGAATAGGTATACCCGCGACTTTGTCCACATGTTTCAACTATGCCTCAGTATTTCTTAATAAAGAGTTTTTCAACAAGGACATGCCATATTCGTATTTTAATAAAACATAGAATAATTGAGATATCAACTGAAATTTATTCCAGGTGCAGTACACATGTTACATTTAAGAATGGAATTCGATCTCGTTCATATGACCACCGCGCGAGCACGTTTGCAGCGATCAATTCTTTGGAGCCAATTTTCCATCACTCATATCGGCCGAAACGTTGGTAATTTTGCGTTTGATATTGTGACCTATTAATTGTAACCCCTTAAAAAGTAATCCAACAGCGTTAGATCGCACGAACGAGGTAGCCATTCAATCGGAACATTTCGCGACATCACACGATTATCGAGCTTCCTCTTCAATACATCGATTGTTTGACCGCTGAAAACGTGCTCGCGATGGTCATACGAAGGAGATTGAATTCCATTTTTAAATGTAACATGTCTACTGCACCTGGAATAAAATGCAGTGCGATATCTTAATTATTCTGTTATTTATTGAAATATAAAATTGTTATGTCCTTATTCGAAAACCCCTAAGATTGTTTATAAAAGAAATGCGTTATACTTTTTCAAAAGAATTCATGTTTAGTAGAAGTGGAGCTTTGTGAAAGAATTCGTCCCGATAAGTACCGCCTTACCTATTTCTGCCGCCATTACCGCATGGCAACAACAACAGTATTTAACTGTGTTCCGGTGTTATAGGGTAACGGTGCTGGCAAATGGGACTTGTCAATTTTACATTTACATGTCCAGTAGGTTGTAGCATAGCCTTGAGAACCCTGATGATGTCGTTGTAGAGGTTTATCATTAAATTTCCGTCATTTACATGATGAGAGATTGCACGTTCTTTCCCTTAGGGAGTTTTGTGAGAGTGACGACGGAACGAAGCAAAGTACGAATAACGAAGAAAAAGAATTAAAGAACAATACAGGAATAAGAGAAAAAGCTCCCTCCTGGGCATGATCTACCTTGGCAAACTAGGAAGTCCCTAAATAGGCTGCGGACCCAAGTCGGCCGAAGTAAGGAGTGTATGCACGGGTGGAGTTACAGCTGGGAAAGTTCATGTCTGTGTGGTCTCTCCCCAGACAATGGCACATATTTTGTCCTGCACTGCGTGTCCCTTCATCTGCACAGGCGAGGACCTGTACGACGCCACTGATAAAGCTGTCTCAGTCGCTAAGTACTGGTCCTCACAAATATAAACGTCAGAGTCGACACGCCAAGAAGAAGAAGAGAAAAGGGTGATAAAAAGGTGGATGACGATGAAGGAGGTCGCATCGTCACAAAAGTGTCGGGCGTGACTGTCCCTAACACATCTTTGCGATTTTAAGCTTTGAATGCACTGCAACTGTCACGTGTAGATAGGCGTGTCGCTTACCACCAGGCGCACGACTTGTTCGATCCGTAACTCAATATAATAAAAAAAGTTTTAGAGATTACTCTAAAATTAGTCCACGGCGACCATGATTAGTAATATAATTGGGATTATAGCACCCCGTTAAACCCTTTTTAGGGGTTGTTGGGGTTCACGAAAGGAGATTCTCGCAATGAAGCCTGGCGCAACCTGGTCAACAATCAGTGAATATCGTACGCCGATTGGTAAATCTTTTAGCCACAATGGCGAACATGTTCCATGTACAGCATGCTGGCAACTGGTGGAGTGGTCAGCGTGGATAAGCGACAATATAGTGTATACCATCGATATCGATACGATACGAAGAAAGGACCTTCATGAATAACCAAAATAAACGTATTTTACTTTTAATAGTATACGAGTGTGCCAAGTTTCAATTAATAACTATAATAACTACCTCCGTGGCCGAACAGTTACCATACTAAACTGCCACGAAGAGGGCCCTGGTTCGATTCCCGAGACGGGAGAAATATTTGTATTTATTTCTCTAGTGAGTTTGGATGTAATTTGTGGTTGTCTATGTGTGTGTCCATTGCACAGTGTGAGGTTATGAGTGTGTGCATTATTACTTATTATTATTAATAACAATTTTTTTCCTCCAAATACACCATCGAAGTAAAGTAATTGCTAGATACGTATTAAAAATAATTCCAATAAATAAGATACAATGATTGCGAGATTTCAGAGGGCGCGGTATTAACCATTGTATGCGAATTACATCCTTGATGGTAAATATATTCTTTCTTATACCGATCTCTGCAGGAAAGCTTCAATCAGTTCAAGTTTTCAAGACGTCGTAAAATATACAGAAACTTTATTACCGTCTAATAAATATAAAGTTACATAGACACAACACACAGCCGCAGGTTATTTTTAATTCCTGATGCCAAAAGAAGGAAGTTATACACATACGTGAAGCCTATGTCGGTGTATATGTGTGTCTGTTTGTAGTATCGCAGCTCTGAACTGATCTTAAAGCTGTTTTGATGACTATGGTTGATAGGTGATAGGTGATAATTTTCTCACGGTATTAACTTCTTCACGGTATTAAATACGTGTATGAGTCTCTGGTAATTATGATTGCCTCAGTTATAGATATACATATAGGCGTTGCAAGGTAATTATGGACATACGTAACAATGGCGGGCCGAAAACCATTACTTAACGGTAACAATGTCATTCGACAACATTCGCGTATAGTCCAAGACCAACAATATGGTTTATGAATCTTTGTACATAAGTAAATAAGAACCAAAGTGCAGTATTATAATAATGTTAACGAATAATAATGATCCAGACAGTCATACCAATTAATTAGTTTCAAATTATGACGTCTTGATGCGAATACCAGCATCCACATCCGCAGATAATCTGTATAAATTAATGCGGATAGAGATCCACATCCGTATCAGTCTCCGCATTGATTGATGCTCGTATTCTTTGCGAATGTTCTAGTCGTGATACAACTTAAAATATACGCAGGGTACGCTGAAATAATTTACATACTGAAAACACAATAGACACTTTTACTATATCTTTTATTATTTTTCCCAGATCACCACTTCACAACAAATTATACTCGGGTCAAATATGGCGGACCTCACGAGGGCGCTCGTACATCCATTCTTTTGGAGTCAGTTGAATTACTTAATATGAGGTAATGAAATTATATTTATAACAACATTACATTAATTTAATTACATATTTTTATTTAATTTAATTATCATAAGAAATATAATTTCACATAGCACTATTGAAAAAAATATAATAACAGGTGTTAAATGTTGAAATCAAGCAGAATTCTTTTTACAAATTAAATAGTTAATATTGTTTAATATTTTTGGTAGAATATACTTTTTTAAGTATTATGTATTAACAATAATACAAATTAACTATTTGCTTTCAATACCTTCCAGAAACAGACTGCAAGCAGAAAAACAGCTCAGCTGTTGTTTTTACAATCTCAGTACAAAGCGCTAAGAAACCGACTTCAAGAGTTCGTGGAATTACATATATTTGCCAAGTTTTATTGGAAATCATTTAGAGATGGAATATTTTCTTCAAATTTAAATGGGACCAATACTTAGGTACCCTAAAAGATAAAGAATCGAAAAAGAAAGAAAAAGTTATCGCGTAACATACATACAAAAAAAAATACGAATTCTTTTTTGTTCTCGCCTCCTCCTTTTTTGAAGTCGGTTAAAAACATAACTTTGATAAAATTCGAAAAATTACTGCCAAGCTAGACAGGCGATTATTTTTTAAATGTTTTTAAATTGTTAAATGTCTTAAAATCATTGAAAAAATATTTTACTACAGTATCAAAGAAAACAGAAAGCCATTTCATGTTTGGTACATTTTTCAGGCTTTTAAAAATAGATTTAAAACAGAGAATAAATAAGCTAAAGGTAAAAAA